GGAGCATTAGAATTCCACCCACCTCCAAGGCCCACACACGCATGCTGTATCCTAAGGTTCTTGTCCTGGAGTTGTCAGAAATTCTTACTCGGTTACAGTTTTGGTCTCGGACTGCTTGGCCGGTCAGGTGTCATGTGACCCTCTGTGTACATCACTCGCCCTTCGGTTCCTAAATGAGCTAATCTGCATAAACTGCTGAAACCGGGGCCAGGCACAGAATAGATCCTCAATGAATTCAGTCCTTTATTCAAAGGGTATTTATTGAGCACCTACTATGTGCCAGACACCTTGGGACTGGGGATGTAGCAAAATAAGAATCTCAGTGGTCCCCTTGCGGATCTTTGCGTTCTGGTGGGAGAGACAGAGAATTAGCAAATACGTAAGTCAAATAGAGATGGCACGTCAGAAGGGCACGAGCGCCACGGAGGAGAGGAACCAGGAACGGATGGGACCCAGGGGATGGGCAGGCCAGGGAACGAAGGCCTCACTGAGAGGTGACTGTGAACAGGATGTGAAGTTGCTGAGAGAGTAGGTTTGCCCAGGACGGTCCCCCTTTAGCACTGAAACTGTGGGCTGAAGGCCCCATGTCCCCCGAAACCCTTCGGTCCCGGCCACACAGGGGTGGCTGTTCACCTAGGAGTGAGTTGCGTGGCTATCTGAGGGAACAGCCGTGCAAAGGCCCTGAGGTCAGCACACTCAGGACACATATGCAGACGCAACACTGGGAACGCGGTGGGAGCTGTTTGTGAGAGAGTGAAGGAGATCTGAACGAGCTGGTGGGTGACCCGCGAGGGAGCCAGTGCGGGGGGGCCCCCACCCTGCGAACCCCTGCGGGGGCTGCTTGTGCATGCAAATAGGCAGTGGCAGGGACAGGCTTGCCTGGCCAGGTCAGCTGCCCAAAGCAAACAAGGGGAGGGGCAGAAGTTGAGTTTCTTCAAGGTCATGGCTGGTGAAAGAACGGAGCCAGAGAGGAAGGCAGGGAGAGAGGGAGGGCGAGGGAGAGAGAGAGAGCGGGGAGAGAGTTAGTTTAGGGACCGCCAGGTAGCCAGGGAGTTTTAGGGGAGAAGTTGGAGGGATAGAGGTGCATTTCACAAAGGCCTCCCAGTCACATTCTGACCACGGAGCTCTCCCTGAAACTCAGACACTGTTCTTCCCTCCACGGATAACAGAGCTTCCTCCCATTTTTGCAAACAATGCAGCTGTGTTGCATGATTCTGTCTTGATATGGACAGGAGTTTGAATAACAAACAAAGACCCAGCGAGAGGGATACAGGGACCCAGTGAGGTGGGGGAGAGACGGGGAAGGGACGTAAGGTGTAAGGTGGGCTGGAGGTCGGATGCTGTCCCTCCGAGGCACCCAGGTCACCCAGTGAGCATGCCAGGGAGACGGCCATTGTCCCAGACATCGGGGTGTGTTTCCGGGGGCTGGGGGAGATCCAGGGCCTGGGGAGGCTTACCCTCCCCCACCTGTGGAAGTGGGGGGGAGGTGCCATCAACATCTCCAGCCTGATGGGGGCAACTGGCTAGTCCCAGGCAGTTCTCTATGTGGCCACCAAGGTAGGCCATCAGGGTTCCCTGCTGTGTCCTTCCCTCCCCAGGGGCTCAGACCTGAGGCATAAAAACCTGTGATGCGCCCCGACGCCCTGGCGGTGTGGCTCAGGGGGCGCCATCCTGTCCACCAAAAGGTTGCCAGTTCGATTCCCGGTCCGGACAAATGCCTGGGTTTCTGGCTAGAACCCCGGTAGAGGGTGTGCGGGAGGCAGCCGACCGCTGTTTCACTCTCATATTGATGTTTCTCTCTCTCTCCCTCTCCCTCCCTCTTTCTCTAAAAATCAATTAAAAGTATTTTCAAAACACACACAGGAAGAAAAACCTGTGGCATGCTGCTATGCACTAGGCGTCTCCCAAGAAGCAGACCCTGGTGCTTGTGGAGGTGGCCTGCAGGGAGGGCGGGACCTCCCCACTGGCATGCCCCTGCTGGACCCCATGGTTGGGAGGAGAGGGCATGGGAGGAGTCTCATATTCCCTGGACTGAGCTTTCCCCGGCTCTGTCTTCTGCCGGGGGCACTAATAGCTTTGACCAAGGCCTTGCCCTGGGTGGGAGTCAACTGGTGAGCATCTCTGTGGAG